ACAGGACAGACCACTCATATCCCATATTATCATTGAAATTGAACGAATTCAGGAAAGGGAAGGGTTTATGGAAGCTAAATAACTCTCTTTTACAGGAAACTGAATATCATGACTTACTTAAAAAAAAACAATTTTAAGGGTCAAAGAATTTTACTGCCTGCCAATACATAATATTACTTGTTTGAAAGACATACCTAGGGAAGATTTACAGTTTACTATAAGTGATCAACTTTTTTTAGAAACTTTATTGTTGGAACTACGATGTGAGACAATTTCATATGCATCTTATAGGAAAAAAATAAGAAATGTAAGGGAGAAGGAGCTTAGAGAAAACATACAGAAGTTGGAGTCTGAAGATATTGTTGATCTAGAAACATTGGCAACAGCTTGAGGGTATTAGATTATATAAGATAAAGGGTAGTATAGTTCGTTCAAGGGCAAAATGGGTAGAGGAGGGTGAAAAACCGACCAAATATTTTTTTAACTTAGAAAATAGGAATTATGTTTCAAAAATTATTCCAAAAATACAAAAGGACAACGGAAACATTATAGTTAAGCAGGAAGATATACTGATAGAAGTTAAGAACTTTTATGAAAGCCTGTATAAGGATAATAACGTGGATAATGTTGATCTTAATAACTTCTTAAAAAAATGTAATGTACCCAAGTTGACAAATAATGAATATACAGAGCTTGAAGGGCAGATAACACTCCAGGAAGCTGGACGTTTTTTAAAAAATATGAAAAATGATAAAAGCCCAGGATCGGATGGTTTTACTACTGATTTTTTTTAATGTTTTTGGAAGCAGTTAGGTTGTTTTGTGGTACGGTCAATTAATTTTGGCTATTCTTCTGGGGAGTTATCTGTCACTCAAAGACAAGGGATTATAACTTGCATTCCAAAAGGAGATAAACCAAGACATTTGTTAAAAAATATCATTATTGAACACTGTGTACAAAATAGCGTCAGAGGTTATTTCTTCTAGAATAAAAACAGTTTTAGATAAGGTTATAAGTAGTGATCAAACAGGTTTTTTTAGCTGGTCGTTTTATTGGAGAAAATACTCGTCTTGTTTATGATATTAAGCAGTATACAGAAGATCAGAATATCCCAGGATTGATTTTGAGAAGGCATTTGACTCTGTCTCTTGGAAATTTGTGGATAATGTTTTAAAATATTTTGGCTTTGGAAATAGTATAAGAAATTGGATTAAAACTTTACATAAAAATGTCAATTCAACTATTAATCAGGGAGGAAATTTGTCACCCTTCTTTCATATTGGTAGGTGATGTCGTCAAGGCGACCCTATAGCGCCATACATATTTATCTTATGTGCGGAAGTTTTATCAATCAGGTTAAAGAATAACAAAAATATTAAGGGTGTAGAAATCAAAGACCGTCCTATCCTAATTTCCATGTATGCAGATGACACCACACCTATATTAGATGGCTCTGAAATATCTTCGAGAGAAGTACTTAATGAATTAAACAGTTTTTTCTAAAATTTCCGGATTAAAGATTAATGTTAGCAAGACTCAGGTTATTTGGATTGGCAGTATGAGATTTAGTGATGTGAGCTTTTTACCAGAAATGAACCGAGTATGGGGAAAGGACAAGTTTACTTTATTGGGAATAGAGTTCAGCTTGAATTTACATCAGATACCGAAGCTTAATTATGACAAAAAACTCATTAAACTGAAAGCTCTAATTAGAACCTGGAGTAGAAGGTCATTGACACCTATTGGCAAAATTCATGTTATAAAATCACTTATGCTGTCTCAGTTCAACCATCTATTTATTGCTCTACCTAACCCAGATGCTAATTTTATATCAACTCTGAATTCTATCCTGTTTGAGTATATGTGGAACAGTAAGACTGACAAAGTAAAGAGGGGTGTTATTATACAAAACTATATTGATGGGGGATTGAAAATGGTTAACTTAGACGCTTTTATTACTTCTCTGAAACTGAGTTGGGTCAAGAGACTTTTCCTTAATGAAGGTAAATGGCAGCATATTATTAAGTCTATTGTAGATATTAACCTACTTGCTTATGTTGGGGATGACTATTTACAAACATGTTATAATAGATGCAATAACCAGTTATGGAAAGATATTCTGAAGGCATGGGAAAGACTAAGAAAGGCTGAGAAGGAAAACCCATATGGAAAAGGGAAAGAGGTAATGAAAACTCCAATATGGTTTAATAGACAAATATGTGTTGGTAGAAGGTCAGTATTTTACAGAGAATGGTATAACAAAGGTATAGTCATAATCAATGATTTATTCAAGAAGGATAACTCTTTCTTCAATTTTCCGGATTTTATAGATTTATTCCAAATAAACACAGATTTTCTAACTTTCCATGGTGTTATGGTTGCAGTAAGACAGTTGTTAGCAGGTAATGAGATGCCATTTTAAAAAAAATCTTTTCCATATATTCCAGTCAATCTGGTAAGTTTTATTTTCTCTGCTAAAGGCTCAAAACGTGTTTACAACACACTGGTAAATAGAAAAATAATTCCAACTTGGCAGGTTAAATGGAATGTTGAACTTGACATCAATGACCATAAGTGGAAACGAATGCATCTAATCCCTTTCAAAGTTACTTCTAATACAAAGCTATAATGGCTTCAGTTTCGAATTTCGCATCATATACTGACAAAACAATCTTTTTTTATCTAAAGTAGGTATCTCAGATAATCCTCTATGTACTTTTTGTAATCAAGTTGAAGAAACTATAGTGCACTTATTATGGGAATGCCAAGAAGTTCAGTCTTTTTTGCAAAGTTTTGAATCTATCCTAGATGCATTGCTAATTCCTTTCCAATAGAATAAAATCGCTTTCATATTAGGATTGTTTACACAAACAGAACGGTTTAATAAGAGCGATAACGAAATACTTTTAATAATTAAGCAATACATTTACAGTTCTAGATGTAACAATAGAATGTTGAATAACAACTCTTTAATTCTTAAAATCAAGGACCATTACACTGTACAAAGTTATATTGCAACTGCTAAAGGTGAATGTTATATGCAGAAATTTACTGCATACTGAGAAAAATGGATGCGGCTAATAGAGCTTGTGGACTAATTTTAAATACAAGTGTAGTTATAAAGATGGACGTACATACACATACACATGTATATTTTGAATATATGTTCATTATGAATTAATTCTATTGAAACTGCCCTGTCCTCTGGCAATATATTTTGCTGGTTCTGGTAATAAATTTTTTAGTACTATATAAGTATAGTTTGACATCCCTGTCTCTGGTATCTATACCTAGAATTCATCAATATGATATTTTTTGCAACAGAATATTTATGCCTATTCATTCCTTTTCATTTTCCTTTCTTCTCTCTTATTTCTCTTTCCTTCCTTTCCGACAATATTATACACATATCAGATAAAGCAATTACAGGAGTTTAATCTTTTTGTAGATAGAGTGCATGTGAGTGTGCGTGAGTGAAAGCGTAGAGGAGTGGGTATATCTGTTCGTGCTTTTTATTGAAGTGAAGTACATGATTTGGTTCTGAAATAAAATATAACATGATGTGGATTATATTGTCTGTCATAAAATGTGTATACATGTAATAATATATTAAAAAGAAAAAGTGTTATACTGATCTTCCTCATTATGAATGAGTTAATCATGATTGTTGAGTCAAATATTGAGTGTACCAATTAAAAAAATGATGTTGCAGTTTGGTTCAGTGGCTGTCTGTTGAGGTGTGTTGCTGATGACACGCATTGTATGGATGATGACAATGACGTTGAAGATGATGATGATGGCTATGAGGAACGGATAGTTTGAACGTTTAGGATCAGGATGCTGATGAGATAGTGATGCTGATGATGATGTTGATGATGATGATGATGATGATGATAATGATGATGATTGTGATGATTGTGAGGATGATGATGATGATGAATATGATGATGATGATGATGATGATGATGATGATGATGATGATGATGATGATGATGACGATGATGATGATGATGATGTTGATGATTCTGAGAATGAGGAAGATGATAATGGTGATGATGATGATGATGAATGTGAGGATGATGAGGATGATGATGATGGTGATGAGGAAGATGACGACAACATTCAGGATGATGTTGATGATGAGTGAATTAAGTGTCAAAATGTGTGTTAGAGAGTGTGAAAATGAAAATACCTGTTCTGTACCTATATTATGAAAAACTGTTGGAAAAAAAATTGATAAAAAAAAAAAAAAAAAAAAATTATCGTAGTATTTGTACGGGCACTTATTCATTAAAATTAAATTTAGCGGAACCAACATTTTAAATAAGAATATTCACATATCAATCATTCGGTCAGCGAAATTCTTGCAATGATAGCTAAAAGACATAACGCATGGACATATGCACAGGTATTTTTGGGTTAGATCTGTTCACTAAATCTGATTGATTATTGACATATTTTGAAATAAAATGGGTTCATTCGACGGGGATCTATCAAACCTGTCATTCTGGATCATAAACATATACCATATGCACATTAATAAACAATACGTTATTGACTGTTTCAAACCAGCTTAGACTATTGAGGCCTGTAAACACCATCGTTTAATGACAACCTTTGTCTTGTAAACGATACACAGGTGTTATCAGTGCCGTAATTAACAGTTGATTTGCCTGTCTCCTTAACGAATCTAATTTACCTATGTTTAAATCCGAATTGTCCTTGTCAGAACGTTCTATTATATCTACAAATGTATTCACCCCACAGATTTATTACGTAATAGATGAACTGTTTTTTATATTGATTTATTCATTTTGTGAATATTTCGTGTAGATTAAATTTCCGCCTGTTAATATTTCATGGTTTCTCTTAAATAAACGTTCAATGTCAGGTCAGCGTGTACTTGGTAGTCCAACAGGTAATAACATTCAGTAGCATACATTCTGATCTAAAGTTTCGTGCCAAGAATTTGTTCGATGCTCATTATGTTTTGGACTGGATTATTAATCTATCTCCACTTACAAGCTAAGAAAACTATGTTATTGGAAATGAAACAGCATGGAATATAAGTATTCGAACGGCGACGAAAGCTCGGGGATGTATACAGGAAAGGGAAATACTACCAAGAGGGAACAGTGGGGCAGAAAGTTGGATTACATATTAACAATTCTCGGTTTTCTGGTGGGATTCGGAAATATCTGGAGGTTCCCTTATATATGTATGAGGAATGGCGGCGGTAAGTTTGTTTTTATCTTCTTTTAATCTTATGTAAAATATGTGGACATAAAAAAAAACAGTAAACACTAACTACTGCAAAAAGAAATACAGCATATTATTTAGACAATTGAAACCTTGAAATATATTTCATAGTCTTCTAATTAAATAAACAAATCTAACACAATGACAGTTATTATTGCTTGCTTAATTTATATAGTTTGGTTTAATCTATGTTTTATTCAAATTTTGTTTGACACTACATAGAAGTATATGTTTTTTAGAACAGAAAAGGAAACAAAAACAAGTGTCGTGACACTTATGTAAAGGATGAGTGTCTATAAGGCCTTTTTTTGGGCCCCGGTATATTCGGATTTTCACTTCCTTATTTTGTTCAAAGATGTCCTATTATATGACATGCGGAAAAACTGAGGTAAAACTTTGACCGAAAGTGGGTTTCTGGGGGTACCAAAAGGGGTAGGGTAAATCACAAATATAGTTTGCTGTTTTCAAAATGAGCTTAAATACCACAATAATACCATTTCTGGTTTTGAAAACATGTATACATTAGACAAGCGTATGCAACAGAATGAAAAATGACAGATATTTAATCGTCACTTAAAGATTGGTTATATAAAACTCATTTAAGTAGACTTACATATTCACTACATACTTTCCTTTTGTTTTATACTGAGTTATTGCTTCTGGACCCATCTCAGACGTGGCTATTTCAAATATTTCTTAATTTTAATTTAATTAAAAGGTTCATGACACCCTTTATATGCTATAAGTATAAAATATCAATTGTTAGTATTGTATTTTTTATATATCATATAATATTTGCCCAACTCCAGTGGCTGAAGTGAGTTCCAGGTCCTGATTTGTTTTTTAATTATCACAGTTAACTTACAAATCAAAAATGGCATTTGCCACCACCACTAATGTAAAATGATTGGTTTAATACACGAAGTTTGATTTCCTGGTAATTTTAAGTCTCCTAGCCTCTAGGAAAGTATCTGCTTTAATCGTTAAAGTTAACGGATTTCATTGTTTTATCAAATGTTCTGCCTATTTCCAATGTTTATCCGCTGATTATACATAAATGGCATTTGTGGATAAACATGTAACTTGGCATATATATTAGATATATGAGAATTTTTAATTTGTGAAAGTTTCATACTTATCAAACAATGCATTTTTACTTATAAACACATTTTCCTGTGATTTGGAGTACAAGGACCAAAGTGCATCACCTTGCCTAACACCAAATATTTCCTGACAATACTAGTCTATGTAATGTATGTAGATTAAACAGGCTAATTATGTTTATGTTTATAGTAGTAAGAGGGGCGTTTGACGTGCTACACTGACCAAACGTCAGATAGTTTATGCTTTAAAAACGCAAAGAGAGACTAAGTTGTTCGTTCAAGTTAATGCTTGCAATTAACAGTTAATCCTTTTGTTGATTTCATACGGTTTATTTGTTACATTCAATGCTAGCTGCTCCTCATACTATTTCTTAATTACTGTTCTTCCCTTTTTGTTACATTACGTTAACGTTAAGTTTTACCTTAGTTTTTCTGCATGTCATACAATAGGACATCTTTGAACAAAATAAGGAGGTGAAAATCCGAATATACCGGGCCCCAAAAAGGGCCTATAGACACTCATCCTTTGTTACCTACTTAATAATAAACTTTTCAACACTAGCTACAGGAATGAAGTAATATGTACAACAGAGCAAATACGGAAATAGGGGAGGGGTAAATGGATTGGTATGCAGTGGAAACTAGGAATGAATGACATATCAATATACATTTGATCATCAGATGGTAATATCATATTGCTATATTGCAATGAGTATGTGGAACACGATTCTGTAAAATATAACTATGCAATAGTAGATGAAAATTTCAGCAATGATGTAAATGGATACTCGATAAAGGTTAAAATGTATATACAAGTTACGTATCATAAATTGCCACTAAATCAACTATTGACAAAATTAGTATGTCACAAAGCACCGCCATGATTATTAAAAACGTTGCAGATCACACACTTGCCATCACACTTATCAAATATAAGTCAATAAAAAACGTTTCCGCCTCGTCCCTGGCACGTCCTGCTCTTTCAAGGTAACACATCACTTTATTAATCTATCATAATCATGGCCAGTTAGTGACATAATATGGTATAAAGAAATGCAATGGCAAAATCACTGAATAAGCATATAAATCCAAATACATTTTAAAACATAGTAGTAAAACGAATGCAACCCAACATACATATATATGTCAAAATGAAATTGCAAAAGGACTGTTAGTTCATTTGAAATCTTTTAGTTTTGAGTATATAATTTTGGACGGCTAGAAAAATTGAATTGTTTTCTTGATGGGTTAGAGAGTCATCACCAAAGAGTAAAAGATTAGTAGATAGTTGATACGGCAAACTCAGAATATGAAGCTGTCTAAGTGCTGTATATTTATAACATTTTAGCAAATAATGTGTCGAGTTCTCAATGGCACCGCAGGAACAATTCGGGGATGGTATGATGTTTTTCGTAAACAAGTGTTCTTTAAGGGAGCTACATGACATACGCATTATTTCTAATAATGGAAGAGAATTCCGATCGTTTACAGCTGATGGAAGAAATGCATTTAGATAAATATGTGTTGTACAAAGAATAGGTGTCAGACATGATGGGTCAGAAAGTCTGGTATTATAATTATGAATATCACTAACTGAATTAGGTAAGAGATTATACAGATACTCTGGAGTATTTTGATAAAACATTTTATGGAATTGTAACAATTTATGATGGAGTCTACGGTCTATTAATTTATTCCATCCAATTTCTGTATATAGTTTGCCTAAGCTTACAAGTTTAGTAGCACCTGAAACAACAATCCTAGCAGCTTCTAAATTAACATTCTCTAGTCTAGAAAGATATTCTTTGGGAATGCTATCCCAGACATTATCAGTATATTCTACAAGTGGTATAATAAACGAAAAATATTTATTTTGTAATGTGTGCCTGTCGAGTTTAAATTTTAGTGATCGCATATTATTTAAGCTAGACGTTGCTTTCTGAATTATTTATTTAACATGTTCAACCCAACTGCAATTATTCGAAAAAAGAACTCCAAGATGTTTATGCAATAGTACCTCTGATATTTCGTCATTGCACATATGTAAGATCGGATGGTTTAATATATAGTTGATATAGTTTAATGCTTAATCGCAATCCAAACTTCTTAATATTGAAGGATTATGTTATCAATTTGTTAGCTTTTTCTCCAAACATTGTTAGATACGACTAATTGGGGACCCTGGCATAATCGGGCGTTTGCTTCTGTTCCTCTCTCGTTTGACAAAGAAGTGGCCAGAATAAGTTTATTGTCCCGATCGCCCTTGGGATCAATTTTTTAATCCAATTTTAGAATAGAATGATCTGATTGTTCTCCTTTCTATCTGATCCAGGGGATGACATTAAAGTGAGGTAACACTTTATAATGGCCGTCATATATATATATATATATATATATATATATATATATATATATAGTATATCAATGCAGGTGCGTTCCTGATACCGTACGTCCTTACGCTGTTCCTTATGGTCATCCCAGTGTATTTTCTGGAAGTGTCGCTGGGACAGTTTTCTGGGAAATCATTCAAAGATGTATGGAGCTATTGTCCACTAGTCAAAGGTAACATTGATTGATAAGTTAAAGGGAGACTCTCTCTCTCTCTCTCTCTCTCTCTCTCTCTCTCTCTCTCTCTCTCTCTCTCTCTCTCTCTCTCTCTCTCTCTCTCTCTCTCATAAAAGCCCACCCAATTATACTGTCGACTGGATTTTCTTATGGTCCACAAAACATGCAAATAAACAAACAACCTTTTACAACTTTTGAGCTCAACTAAAGCGCTATTAACGATCAAATAAAATATCAAAAGGAATATACAAGGACACTGGTGTGTGAAGTTGTTTTGTGTCAACGCTGAAAATGTAAATTCTTATCTCTTATCTTATCATGGCTATTTAGACGTGAACAAAATGTACATGTCTGAGGAATCATCTGTCGCATTTTCCTCTGTTTCTTATCCAGGAATGGGTGTAGGTTTACAGGTTATGCTGGTGCCTTGCTTGTGTTATTACATCATGCTGATGACGTGGGTGATGAATTACATGTACCATACATTCTACAACCCGCTAACCTGGAGTACGTGTGGAAACGAATGGAACACGCCTTACTGTTTTAGCTTCACGGGTAACACAGGTCAACAATTGATGGCAAACACGTCTACCTTGTATAGTCTTAACAAAACAGGTCATGACCTTTATAACTTTGCAAGTAATCAAGAGGGCAATACCAGTGACAGAAACCTTGTGCATGACCAGTTTATGTCGAGAATAAATTCGAGCCTGACGAACGTGACATTGCGAGCAACAAAGGGTCATAGTGCGGAAGAGGAATTCTGGCAGTGAGTGTCGCAAGTACAATATCAAGAAAATAGAAAGATAGAAGTATTTGTGTGTGGAATTTCGATGACTTCTGCGGCATGTACTCTGTCAACGTTTTCAGACAAATGACCAGTAAAACGTGTGTACACAAAGGTGTGAAGTGTGTACGAGTTTAAAATCGAAGCCGATTCGGATAGGGTACAAGCGAAAGTCTTTTAGGTCCCTAATATCTATTTAGAACTTACACTCTGTGGCGTATCCAGATTGCATCCCTTATACGCCTCTTGAACAAATTACTTTTTCTGTCAAATGCGTTATCCCAGACAGTAACATGATTGTGCTGTATGGCATGATCTGTGATAGCCGATTTATTTTTTTGGGACTGTATTGTTTATTTGCCTGAAGAAGGTGACAGGATACTTACTGTACTAGTCATCGACACGTCACACATAAACATTTACTGGTTGTGATACTTAACCTTTCTACAATTCAGGCTTTCCAACCTAGAGATATTCATTGTCTTCTCGTTGACTATCAGTTGTATATATTTTTCATATCCTATTATTCACGCGTGAATGTATCAGATATATAATACAGGAGTAAAAAAACAATAAAGGTCAATCTGAAACCATTTAATTCCAATTTACTGCATACTGTTTACTGAAATGTTTACAATAATTATCATCAATGCTTATTAATATATCACATTTTTATGTATCATCTTGCAATAAAGGTACTGCCTTAATCAAATTATTCCCTTAATTTCGCAGGTAAAATTATTATATCAAGCATACTAGCATTTATAGTACACAGTATAACCCGTATGAAAGCGCAAGTTGTTTTACTTCCACCGTCTTGGTTTTTATCAATATGAATTTCAACACAAGATCTGCTAAATCTGTGCAATACACAGAAAAAAAATATGTTAAAAACGTATGACATTTGTAAACTGACAACCAATATTCAGATATTAAAATCTTTAACGTTATGTAATATGCTGCTATTGAGTACCTCCAAAAGTTTTGTAATTAATGATTTTTTTAATTACCAAAAACTATTCCATGTTAAACTGACATTTTCGAGGTAAACAAAACAATCACACACTTTTTTGTTTGTTTAATATGTCGTCATATCAAACTATACATACGCGAGCTATGGGAATGTGAGACCAATTAATGCTAAGGAGGATGAACAGCTAAAGTGTTATTCAGATACAAGGTGCTTGACATATCCTCCGGACTGGATGTCATTGGCTCGCTGAACGGACATTTGGTGCTGTGTCTAGTCCTAGCCTGGATTGTAGTGTACGTGTGTGTCATCAAGGGTATCAAGTCGACAGGAAAGGTAAAATTACATAGTCACACACCGATGGTTAACTTCCTGTTATTAAGTCTGCGGTTTCTGTGTGGAGGTTCGCGGTGTCTTTCCTTTTGCATCCTGTGTGTCCTTCAAGTTCTCTGGTCTTCATGTTGATATTGAGATAAATCATTTTTGTATTTCATTGAATATAATAAATGACACTGGAACTTTTGCTTTTCAAATCACCCTAGTTGTACGACATGTGATTATGTTAACATCGTATGAACTCAACGAATTTATCAAAAGAGTGGTGTCCTCTTGATATTTCACTGGCCTAGTAAGTGTATGCTAGATTTGTTATAGAGGAAAAGGTAGAAGGCAAATTATGTTTTCAGAAGAATGTAGTATATGGGATTAAAAGGGTCGTTTTCGTTATGAGATAATGGATCCAGAAATTAATCATCTACTAAACTGAGGACAAGCTATGCTGTATCCATGTCTTTTCTTAACATGTTAACATTTTATGTGTAACAGGTAGTGTATGTGACCGCCACACTTCCGTACCTACTTCTCACCATCCTCCTCGTCCACAACCTCACGTTACCGGGATCATTGGATGGAATTGTATTTTTCATCAAACCAGACTTCAGATCTCTTATGAATATCCAGGTAAGCCGTTAGTATACAGATTAGCACGTACATACTGTTTAGTGATTAGTTGATTACTTGCGTCATTGAATTTTTTTCATATATTGAATATGTTTTAAATAAATGTTCCCCTAACACATTATACATTTTGTTTCATATCAGCACAAAATATAGATTAGCTACATTTTTGTTTGGTATTTGAAGTGAAATGAAACTAATGTTTATGAAAAGTCATCGATGTAGCATACTCTTCCAAGTGGTGCAGCTTACACTCCCCTTTTAATGAAGCAAGCACTTCCCTGTTGATGAAGCAAACTGTTTGTTTGTTCTTTAGGTTTGGCTAGAAGCTGCTATTCAGGTTTTCTATTCGGTGTCGATTGGATGGGGACTACACATCACATTGGCGAGTTATAGCAAATTTGATAACAATTGTCTGAGGTAATACAACCATAGAATTCATATTCTGTTTCTGTCTCAGCTAAAACTAAACATTCATTGCACATCTGTCTTACATCTGCAGATTCGGAGATGTACATAGTAGATACCCCTGTTTAATTGTTTTGCATTGTCGTATGACACACGTTTTATGAGATCCCATGCAGATTCGATGTTTACTCATTATTCTGTAATTGGCGACATCGAAAGTGTAAACTTTGATATGCTATTGGTTTTATTGCAACTTTACGGATATTTATCCCATTTCAAACATATTTTTAAAACATTCTTTATTTTTACTGTTCTATTTCTACGCACTGTCGTTCTGTCAACCTTCAAACTTATCATGATTTTGTGTCATTGTCTTTTTTTGATTCCATTTAATTACCATTGAACGGCAATACCATTTTCATTAATTAACATAAATTGATGAAAACCACCATCAGAAATCCTTCTAGCGAAACCATGAATAACTAAAGTTTACATTAATTGTTATTTTTTTTTTAACTAGAATAACATGAGATAGCACATTATTGTTTCATCCATATACAGAGACACATTTATCATGACTCTTGCTGGAGAGGGAACAAGTGTGTTTGGCGGGTTTGTTATCTTTTCTGCACTCGGGTTCATGGCTCATGAGGCGAATGTTCCCCTTACCGAAGTCGTAAAATCAGGTAAGCGATTAACAAACTTCGCATCTCTATAAAACATGATGCATACATTTACGTAAAACTCTCATGTTTTCACACGGTTTGCGCAGGCTTTAAATATTTGCCCGGGAAACATGACAATAGTTAGAATAAACTTCCTCAAATCGAAACAAAAAGTACCTACTTTGGAAAGTACCAATCAAGCTGATCCTTTTTGTTTTATTTACCTGAGGCTGACATAATGTACTCTAAACGAAATATGGGTCAATAGGTTTTCCATTTAGCTGAAATCTTCTTCTATGTCGAAGAAGCTATAAATTTATATCACTATTTGAAATAAATTACTGTAAGTAATAAAAGTAGGAATGTAAATGGATATTGCTTTATTTTTTTCAGGGCCAGGGTTAGGATTTGTGGCCTACCCTATGGCTTTAGCACAAATGCCCCTTCCGAATCTGTGGGCAGCATTATTTTTCATCGCCATGATAACACTCGGGTTAGACAGTCAGGTAAGATAGCCGCTTTGATTGATATTATTTAGAAAAAAAGTATTATTACCCGTGAATTTACTCAAGTTTTATCAATTATCAGATGTGATCGCTTATGTTTGTAATACTTTAATAATACACTTAAAATGAAAAAAGTTTATCGAGAAACGTTTTTGGTAAAATACAAAAGCAATATTCAGATGAGTTTTAACGAGAACAATGATGTCATTTGTATAGTATAGTCATTATATATACACTCTTTTATTTTTCAGTTCACTATTACAGAGATTACATACGTGTATTTTGAGGATTGCTTTCCGTTTATGAAGAAAAAACAAATGATCTCCAGAGCATGTTTATCTATGATCGGCATTGTGCTAAGTTTGCCATTTTGTACACAGGTCTGTAAAAATCTTTAACATAGGGGTTTAATATATAGTTTTCAAATATAATGACTGAAACACATCATATTTCGGTTGCCCCAACTAAATTGACAGATAACCAATTATGTAATGAATATTGATGGATAGTGTTATTAAGTAATTAAAATAACAAAATAATTATAATTAAGTTGAAAAAGTAATAAACATTATTGCTTCATCTAGTAACCATATATTCCGTTTTTGATAGGATTTCTTGATTTATATGACCAAGGTAATTTGATTGTATATTAAGATAAGTAATAAAGCACATACTCCTTTAGAACTGACGTATGATACATTGTTAACTGTAATCAGAATACTATGTTCTTTGTGCTGTGTATTACATAATCTTTTCATTTATGTTAGAGGTATCACCCTTAAAGGACCTGTTACAGGAACAAAAGAATTTTGCCCACAAAGCAATTTAACCATTACTGGGTTATATTTGTAGCTCCCTAAGACACGACCCATGAGATATTTTTAAAAAATGAAAAAGGTCCCCAGGGCCTGTGCTATGAACTATTTAGTGATGCCTTCCAAAGGTGTACGACAGGGTTCACTTTTTTGTCCAAAAAACTATCAAAACAATGTTTTACGCTATCAAATAATATTATATTATTTAAAGTAGGATCTGCTGCAAATTATGAACTCAAATATGTTACAAAAAATTGCATAATATTTTTTTTATAAAATCTTAAACTCTAAAAATTTTGGTATTTTCATACACGTTTTTGCTACATGAATTGTATTACGGAAGTAAAACACCAATTTCCGGTTCTTGTACACCAAAAATCTTTTAATATTATTTGGTGCATTATGTTGAGATACGATAGTGAAAATTTCAGAAAATTTGAGAACCGGTAAATTTGTCATATAAATGTCAAATTGTAGCAACGTCTATTTCCAAATAAAATCTAACAACCTTATGATCTATAGTCATGTTTGATAATTTAACAATATGTCGCACCAATTTATTATCGCAACTGATCAAATTTTCATCAATAAGATCTGCTGCTCATGATGAGCCCAATTATAAAGCTAGATGTTACAAAATAAAAAAGTTATGCAGTCTCACACACATAAACGTTTAGTATGTTATGTACATTTTTAGTTGTTTCGCATCTTTACGGAAGTGATAGACATATTTCCGGTTTGTGTACACCACCATACTTTGGATATCATTTGGCACATTATGTTGACCGACGATAGTAGAAATTTCGAAAAAATCGGTATGCGGTAAATGTGTCATCTTAAGGATAATATATTGTATGGGTAAATGTGTCATCTTAAGGATAATATGTTGTATGACCAATGTCAAAATAAATCGTCAATATCTCCAGGTCAATGCGATTTTGGCTTGTGGTACATATCAGCTGAAGCTGGCACCTGACTATATCACAGAACATCAGACGGATGGGGGTGATTATGAGATATGGGTGTACCAACATGCTGATGACCTTCTCCGAGGCCAAATACACTCTCGCCACAGGTCGCAGGCAAATCACAATGTCTGGATAGAGTTTGACCTACACGCATCAGAGGATCCTGTCAAGGCATACTATTGTGTGTGTCCTGCAGGAAAGAGAACATCGGGTATGTGTACTCATGTCGCATCAATACTGTATTATCTAGGATACTATGCACATTTAACAGATGCTAAACCGGTCCAGCCTTCAGCTCGCAAATTCAGAGACTGCATATTATGAATGCATTCAAAAAAGAAATATTATTCAATTATAGCCTTTGGCTGAGGTCAATACCTGAATTTATCAACCCGGGAAAAGATATATTAACCGAGGACGCATTCCGAGGTCAATATATCTTTTCTCGGGTTGATAAATCCAGGTATTGACCGAAGTTAAAGGTTTCAATTGTTTTATTATTTTACAAAACAGTAGTGTTAGTAATCTGGGAGAAAAAAAAAGCTTCGGAAGTGGGACGGTGCATTGTTTGGAGACACATCATAATTCTATTTTTAGAAACACCCAGTCCTTCAACAAAAATCACGCGCTCCAAGTCAATATCAGTTTTTATCGGTGGACACTTGATGCACTTCTGGTCAATTACTTGTCGGGAATAATATGAAAAAATAATAAGACCTAAGATTGAACTGAGAAAGGAGAAATTCAGAAAAAAAATTGAATGTTCAATTTTGACTACGTGTTGTCAAATTAAAAAACAACAACAGTAAATACAACAATCCATGAATTGGAAACTATAACTCTCCTAAAAAGAAACAATGTGATGGGTTAACATATCTTCAACATATTATACTGGTTCACCAAATGTTCTGACAAATTGCCTAACTTTTGCTGTATTCCTCCCCTTTAACTACCTAGTTTAGTTAAACAGTCATACTCTACTATGAACCATATCATCCACCATGATAGTATATTGGAATGATTTTGGGTTAATTATGAAATACTTGCATTAACCTGAAGTTATTGAAGTTTATTTTGACATTGGTCATACACATATTATCCTTAAAATGACACATTTACCGCATACCGATTTTTTCGAAATTTCTACTATCGTCAGTCAACATAATGTGCCAAATAATATCCAAAGTATGTTGGTGTACAAAAACCGGAAATATGTATATCACTTTCATAAAGATGCGAAACAACTAAAAATGTACATAACATACTAAACGTTTATGTGTGTGAGACTGCATAACTTTTCTATTTTGCAACATCTAGCTTTATAATTGAGCTCATCATGAGCAGCAGATCTTATTGATGAAAATTTGATCAGTTGCGATAATAAATTGGTGCGACATATTGTTAAATTATCAAACATGACTATAGATCATAAGGTTGTTGGATTTTATTTGGATATAGACGTTGCTACAATTTGACATTTATATGACAAATTTACCGGTTCTCAAATTTTCTGAAATTTTCACTATCGTATCTCAACATAATGCACCAAATAATACTAAAAGATTTTTGGTGTACAAGAACCGGAAATTGGTGTTTTACTACCGTAAAGCAATTGATGTAGCAAAAAAATGTATGAAAATACCAACATTTTTAGAGTTTAAGATTTTATATTTTTTTTATTATGCAATTTTTTGTAACATATTTGAGTTCATAATTTGCAGCAGATCCTACTTTAAATAATATAACATTATTTGATAGCGTAAAACATTGTTTTGATAGTTTTTTGGACAAAAAAGTGAACCCTGTCGTACACCTTTGGAAGGCATCACTAAATAGTTAATAGCACAGGCCCTGGGGACCTTTTTCATTTTTTAAAAATATCTCATGGGTCGTGTCTTAGGGAGCTACAAATATAACCCAGTAATGGTTAAATTGCTTTGTGGGCAAAATTCTTTTGTTCCTGTAACAGGTCCTTTATGTTAGAGGTATCACCCTTAAATTTCTATTAACATTATCTATTCACTCGAGTATTAACATTACAAGATTTTGTGAGGAACTCGTTTTTAGAGTGAAGAAACACATTATAGTAATATAACGTATACCCTCAACTATCCGGACGCCTAGTAACAGAGGCATTTGTTTCAGTTCTACGTATTTGTGTTTTGTTTGTCTTTTTTCCAAAATCTAGTTTGCCTTGTTTGCCCGCAATCATCCGACGCCTCGGTCAAAGCGGCACGTATCTGTTTAACATACAGGAGACACTGTGGTTATTTTATCATCGTCTTAGACATCTACAAAAACTCAAGAAAACAAAGTAGTAAAACCCAATAGATTAATCATACTCTTTTTGAAAGTTACTCTTATGTATCTAGAGGTTTGAATTTCAGGCAGGAGTGTACCTGTTCCAGCTGTTTGACTGGTATCTAGCTGCATTTTCTCCGTTGTTTTTTACATTGATAGAGTGTACCTCAGTAGCCTGGTTGTTCGGTACGTATTACCACAATATTACAGTGTCTTGAATGAAACGTAATCTGTATATAAGTACTTTCCTACCTCATGGCAGGTCACATACAAATGGCGGGAAATGCAAAATTTTCCCAAGCATGTGCTTTGTTTGACCCGGATCAACCTTGCAGGTTTCATCTAAATCAACAGAAAACGTGGTTTTATTCTCCTTGTACCTTTGTATGGTTTCAGGAATATCTCTTTATTTGCATACTTTTCACAAGCATCATTGATTTCGAGCTTGAATTGAACCTTTATTTCCGTTGGTATTCTCTCGGGTGATTGTTAGTATTTACATGTCCATATAGAGGGGGTACGATCAAGGATTATAAGGTCTTTTCTTAGTGTATAAAGTTCTTGTTGTCTATTGAATAAAATAATTGTCCGGCCTGGTGTTTTTTTTTATCTTACATTGATTTGATTCACATTGTCTAGTTCTTCGAACTTTATTGTTTTATGTGACTTTTTCTAGATTTGAATGATGCATAGTGCAAATTATGACACAGGTAAAATGATTTCTGAATCTAGTTTCATCGACGGATTCATTTATTTTGTTTTACTTGTTAAACCTTTCGATGTGTAGTTGTAACATATTGTTATCATTTTCACCAACATAAGAAAACCTTAAAAAGCACGCACGCACTAAACACCAAATACGAATTTGTGAAATTCCACATAGAAAGATATTATGTAAACGTTTTTCGTAACTTTGAATGCTCTACATGTCTTTGTAGAACGATGTTTTGGGATTCTGCATATCCATATTTTCCTTCATCAGGTGCTGAGCGATTTTCGAGGGACGTGGAGATAATGATCGGGAGGAGAGTACCTGGTTACTTCAAATTTTGTTGGTCTTTCCTCTCACCTCTTATCTTGTTTGTAAGATTATAAGATTTAAAATAATTTGTCAACTTATACACTATCCTTGCCAAACAACAACATCAAGTAAGGCTCGAAATATCTGGATGAACATAATATGTTTATGACACAATTTTTATATTTGTCAACGTTTTGCAGTCCGCTTCAAGTAACACTGTTTTGAATCAGTCGCTCACGAGACTGATATATTTTAACTGTTTCGTAAGTATTGCTTTATTAACAATGTACACACGGAATGCACTAGTAAATAGAGAAGTTTTGTAATAAACAGTCGATTTGTTATGTGCCGAAAACTACAAACAAACCCGTGATATTTCTGAGAGGGATACATTTCCCTTTAGTTTATTACGGATCCAAACCCCGATTTTAACCCCCACCCCCCACCCCCCACCCATCAGCCAATGTTACCGCTTAACAAGTGTCCGTTGTATATGATGTATCAGTGACCACAACAAAAATATCAAAGCAGGGTTATGAATGTTCAAAAATTAAGAGAATTTGTGCCAACACAATTATAAAATAAATTAATCTGAACGGAAAATAATGTGAAATCGGTACATTTATAAAGCTTGTAAAATAACGAACTTAACGACAAGTTCGGCATGACCTGAAAACAAAACCACTGTTACCCGAAAGTCAACTAAATCATTCACAGCAAAATAAATGTCCTGTTGTTTGTTAACCTTTAGGTTTTATTTAGTTCAAATATATAAATACGTCCGCACTAAAATTTACATATTTAACACAAAACCAAAGAAAGAAATGAATGCATGTTGCATTGATATTAACATCGAACCCTTTATCTACACCTAGTACACATACACAAACACCTAGGACACATACACAAACACCTAGGACTCATATACAAACACCTAGGACACATACACAAACACCTAGGACACATACACAAACACATAGGACACATACACAAACACCTAGGACACTTACACAAACACCTAGGACACAAACACAAATACATAGGACACATACACAAACACATAAGACACATACACAAATACATAGGACACAAACACAAATACATAGGACACATACACAAACACATAGGACACTTACACAAACACTTAGGACACATACACAAACACTTACGACACATACACAAACACCTAGGACACATACACAAACACCTAGGACACATACACAAACCACCTTGGACACATACACAAACACATAGGATACATACACAAACACATAGGACACATACACAAATACATAGGACACATACACAAACACCTAGGACACATACACAAACACCTAGGACACATACACAAACACCTAGGACACATACACAAACACCTAGGACACATACACAAACACCTAGGACACATACACAAACACCTAGGACACATACACAAACACCTAGGACACATACACAAACACCTAGGACACATACACAAACACCTAGGACACATACACAAACACCTAGGACACATACACAAACACCTAGGACACATACACAAACACCTAGGACACATACACAAACACCTAGGACACATACACAAACACCTAGGACACATACACAAACACCTAGGACACATACACAAACACCTAGGACACATACACAAACACCTAGGACACATACACAAACACCTAGGACACATACACAAACACCTAGGACACATACACAAACACCTAGGACACATACACAAACACCTAGGACACATACACAAACACCTAGGACACATACACAAACACCTAGGACACATACACAAACACCTAGGACACATACACAAACACCTAGGACACATACACAAACACCTAGGACACATACACAAACACCTAGGACACATACACAAACACCTAGGACACATACACAAACACCTAGGACACATACACAAACACCTAGGACACATACACAAACACCTAGGACACATACACAAACACCTAGGACACATACACAAACACCTAGGACACATACACAAACACCTAGGACACATACACAAACACCTAGGACACATACACAAACACCTAGGACACATACACAAACACCTAGGACACATACACAAACACCTAGGACACATACACAAACACCTAGGACACATACACAAACACCTAGGACACATACACAAACACCTAGGACACATACACAAACACCTAGGACACATACACAAACACCTAGGACACATACACAAACACCTAGGACACATACACAAACACCTAGGACACATACACAAACACCTAGGACACATACACAAACACCTAGGACACATACACAAACACCTAGGACACATACACAAACACCTAGGACACATACACAAACACCTAGGACACATACACAAACACCTAGGACACATACACAAACACCTAGGACACATACACAAACACCTAGGACACATACACAAACACCTAGGACACATACACAAACACCTAGGACACATACACAAACACCTAGGACACATACACAAACACCTAGGACACATACACAAACACCTAGGACACATACACAAACACCTAGGACACATACACAAACACCTAGGACACATACACAAACACCTAGGACACATACACAAACACCTAGGACACATACACAAACACCTAGGACACATACACAAACACCTAGGACACATACACAAACACCTAGGACACATACACAAACACCTAGGACACATACACAAACACCTAGGACACATACACAAACACCTAGGACACATACACAAACACCTAGGACACATACACAAACACCTAGGACACATACACAAACACCTAGGACACATACACAAACACCTAGGACACATACACAAACACCTAGGACACATACACAAACACCTAGGACACATACACAAACACCTAGGACACATACACAAACACCTAGGACACATACACAAACACCTAGGACACATACACAAACACCTAGGACACATACACAAACACCTAGGACACATACACAAACACCTAGGACACATACACAAACACCTAGGACACATACACAAACACCTAGGACACATACACAAACACCTAGGACACATACACAAACACCTAGGACACATACACAAACACCTAGGACACATACACAAACACCTAGGACACATACACAAACACCTAGGACACATACACAAACACCTAGGACACATACACAAACACCTAGGACACATACACAAACACCTAGGACACATACACAAACACCTAGGACACATACACAAACACCTAGGACACATACACAAACACCTAGGACACATACACAAACACCTAGGACACATACACAAACACCTAGGACACATACACAAACACCTAGGACACATACACAAACACCTAGGACACATACACAAACACCTAGGACACATACACAAACACCTAGGACACATACACAAACACCTAGGACACATACACAAACACCTAGGACACATACACAAACACCTAGGACACATACACAAACACCTAGGACACATACACAAACACCTAGGACACATACACAAACACCTAGGACACATACACAAACACCTAGGACACATACACAAACACCTAGGACACATACACAAACACCTAGGACACATACACAAACACCTAGGACACATACACAAACACCTAGGACACATACACAAACACCTAGGACACATACACAAACACCTAGGACACATACACAAACACCTAGGACACATACACAAACACCTAGGACACATACACAAACACCTAGGACACATACACAAACACCTAGGACACATACACAAACACCTAGGACACATACACAAACACCTAGGACACATACACAAACACCTAGGACACATACACAAACACCTAGGACACATACACAAACACCTAGGACACATACACAAACACCTAGGACACATACACAAACACCTAGGACACATACACAAACACCTAGGACACATACACAAACACCTAGGACACATACACAAACACCTAGGACACATACACAAACACCTAGGACACATACACAAACACCTAGGACACATACACAAACACCTAGGACACATACACAAACACCTAGGACACATACACAAACACCTAGGACACATACACAAACACCTAGGACACATACACAAACACCTAGGACACATACACAAACACCTAGGACACATACACAAACACCTAGGACACATACACAAACACCTAGGACACATACACAAACACCTAGGACACATACACAAACACCTAGGACACATACACAAACACCTAGGACACATACACAAACACCTAGGACACATACACAAACACCTAGGACACATACACAAACACCTAGGACACATACACAAACACCTAGGACACATACACAAACACCTAGGACACATACACAAACACCTAGGACACATACACAAACACCTAGGACACATACACAAACACCTAGGACACATACACAAACACCTAGGACACATACACAAACACCTAGGATACATACACAAACACCTAGGACACATACACATACATCTAGGACACATACACAAAAACCTAGGAC